TCGACACAAAGTCTTTCCAAAATGCTTATAGTTGTTTTATTTATGGTAATCCAGAACTGGAACAAACTCAAATATTTTTCAGCTGATGACTAGATAGGCAAACGGGAATGAAATACAGCAAAGTGCTCTGCAGTAATAAATAGGGTGCAGTTCATGACAGCTTACTAAAGGCATGAACTGCAAAAACACTGGGTTGAAAGAACCAGAAGCAAAAGCTTACATCGCTCTGGCCATGGTGGAATGACCTGTAATCTCAGCATTCGGTAGACTGAAGAGTGGGGCCTCACACCTGAGCCTGCTTGGACTACACAGTGCAACCATGTTTCGAAAAACAAACAAAATGACAACAACCAAACTATATGGGAAAAATCTGGAAGGCTTCAAAAAAAGCAGCAAATATTTGAATATTACAAACAAGGTATTATATTCTATGCTATACGATCATCCTTGTCCTCAAAGTACATATCTAATTATGTGCATATTCATCAGTACAATGGTGATTAACAAGGGACATGTTAGAGTAGAGCTTTTGAAGACTTCTTCCTCATAGGCCAAATTCAGTCATGTTCCTTATGGTCCATGTTCATGGAAAGCTGGAGTGTATCAGCAACTAATTTCCCAAGCAAACCACAGTGAGATATTTTTTTCTCACTATTCCCAAGCAGTTATAGTTTCAGCATAGCACCAGTGGGAGCCATGTTTGTTCATGCCCTCAAACCACATCACTCAGCTGAAAGAGTGTCCAACCCAGTGTAGTAGATTCTGTATCCAGTCTATATGTCTTACAAGAAGAAGAAATGTAAAGACTCTTGAGGCAGGGCTTCCCAGATGTTGGTGAGTGGGTATCAATATTTTTCAGATTATTTGCTAGGTACCACCTCCTCAAAGAAGCAGCCTGGCCACTCACTGTAAGGATGTCCTTTGTCCCTAGTCTTTTGGGCCATGTCAACCTCTTGCATCCTACTCAAGTCTTATTACTTGAGAATACCTAGTACATTCACTTCTTTACCATCATTTCTGTTTGTTTGCTTGATCTAGAATTAAAGTTCTGTCATTTATTCATTGACTTGTCTCAATGTATAATAGTCTCACAAAATTAATTATTCTAGAAATAAGAACTATGTAGAATCAAATCCAACTAAATTTGAGTAAATTAGAAGCTAATAGTAAATGTCTAAAGAAACGAGTGGAAATTCATCCCTAAGAATACTTCCCTCACCTGCTGTAAGGATGAAGTGTTAGACCCCATGTACATTACTCACGATGCCTAACACATGACAAGAACGCAGAACAGGGGGTTACCAGTCCCGTGACAAGGATAAGTCACCTCCCCATAGCAGGAGCATAAACCGTGCTGACTTCTTCTTTGGCTCATGGCTAAGAATTTTGTTCTTCTCTTTGACCAAAAAGTAATCCTTTTCTTATTCAACCTACTTGGAAGCTTCCTCTTGTTAGTCTAGTCACTGCTGAAGAATGTGGGGGAATTTGAACCAAAGGTCTGACCCTGAAATGTTTCTTTTTAAAAAAATGTCTTGGGTTCTAGAAGTTTTAGTCCTCTTTCGTCTTTGATCTAGCTTAGCAGCAGATGGAAAACTTGGATCAATGAAACTTTAAATCAATGTATTCAACCTAAAATACTATATATGTCATTACAAAAATTCTCTTCGCTTGATCTCAGTATCAGCTCAGGTAGAGAACAACTTGAAAGATGCCTTTTTGGATTTGTTTTAGTTGCATTATAGTGGTCAAACAGCAGGAGTAGAATGGTTACATTTCTCTATTGCATCAAACTGTGGCTACATTTGAGGGGAAAATATTCTAGTTTTAGGTAGCAGCTCAAATCTTTTCACAGACTGTATTTCTGAAATTTTGGGACCAATGAATTTAGACACAGAAGCATTTTTTCTCAAGATGTTTTACTGCTTGTTTGCATGTATGCTTGTTGTCTTGTTGTGTGTATATGTGTGTGTGTGTTGGGTGGTACGCACATGTGTATGGAGGGCAGAGGATAACCTAGGCTGGCTGTCATTCCTCAGGCACATATATAGACCTTGGATTTTTTTTTTTTTTCTTTTGGGTCTTTTTGAGACAGGGTCTCCCTGTAGCCCCAGCTGTCCTGGAACTCACTGTGTAGACCAGGCTGGCCTTGAACTCACAGACATCTGCCTGCGTCTGCCTCCTGAGTGCTGGGATTAAAGGCGAGCCCCACCACGCCAGGCAGGTTTTTTTTTCCCTTTGGTCTTTTTTTTTTGAGGCAAGGTCTCCCAGATCCCCAGTTGGACTGGAACTCGCTTTGTAGACCAGGCTGGCCTGACTCCCACAGAGATCCACCTACTTCCCGAGTGCTGGGATTAAAGGCATGTGGCACCAGGCCCAACCCACCTTAGTTTTTTGAGATAGTCTCTGATTGGCCTGGAGCTCCCCAAGTGGGTAAGGTAGTTTGACGAATCTCTTTTCGTTCTCCTGCTGTAAGACAAGCCTTTTACCTGCTGAGCTGTGTCCCTGCTGTTAAGATCTTTTAGAGCAAGCAGTTCTAGTCCTGTTTTCTTAACTCTGATTTCTTTCTTTTTCCTGGAGTGCCTATTTCTAGATGTAAATGTATCCCATGAAGCCCACATTCTTCCACCATCTGCTTACTCCTCAGATGGGTCTACCAAGTCCCATTTCGCTAGGTTCAGGGCTGAGGGGAGACGACACCAGGTAGACCTGGAGCTGGTGGAATTGGCTCTGGGAACCCTGGGTCTTTGTGAGTTTACTTCCCAAGTGGAGGAGAAAAGGAAGAGCAAGGAGAGGAGGAAAGCCCGGCAGGCTGGGCGCTATGACTCTTCTCGGAGTCCTCAAGTTGAGTCTTTTCACTGCAAGCCCAGGGGGTGCAGCCCTCTGGGCATCTCTGATGAGGCCAAAGCCCGTGGGGAGTCGGAACTCTGGGATGTGTGTCTAGCTGCTTCCTGCCTAGGGGAACTGAGGTGCTGAAGCTTGGAGCTAGCTGCTGGGCCTATAGACCCTAGAGAGATATCTCTAGTCAGTGCTGCTGGCCGTCCAGCAACTCTGCTCTACCGTGTGCACTGGCTATGAAGCACAGTATTAACTGTAGTGCCAATTTTAAAAACCCTTGTAAAATAGACATAATATAGCCATATTTTAATTTTGCAGTTCAGTGGCAGTAAGTACACTGTGACCCATAGCTGCCATCCTTCATGAGATGAATCTCCATTTTAAATCTTAACTCCTTCCCCAGTGGCAACCCCACTGTGTTTTCTGTCTCTGTGTTTGACCATTCTAGGCACCTCATGTAAGTGAGCTGTTACGCAGTGTCAATCTTCTTGTGACTGTTATTTCACTTAATATCTCCCGGGTTCATCCAGGCTGTAGTACATGTCAACTTTTTTTTTTTTAAAGGCAGAAAAACATTCTACTAATTTGAGTATGAAATGTAAGCTTGTTAATTCTAGCACATGAGGGGCAGGAGGATCACAAGTTTGCAGCCAACGTGGCCTACATAATCTCAACAAAATCAAACACACTTCCATCCTCTGTGTGTATCTCCTCTTAATCTATTCATCTGTGGAAGGACACTTGGATTGCTTCTGTCTTCGGTGATTGCAAATGCTACTGCTGTGAATATTGTTGTGCAGTTCTCTTTTGAATCCTTGCTTTCAATTATTTTAGATATAGACCCAGCAGTGAAATTACTGGATCCTAAGTTAATTCTCCATGTAAATTTTGAGAAATTTCTGTTCTGTTTTCTGTAGCAGCAGCAGTAAGAGCAGCAGCATTTTACAATCCTACCGTTGTGTAGAAGTTTCCATATCTGTACATCTCTGTCAATGTGCCCTCCATTTTTCAATAATAGTTATCTCAACATAATAAGCAATATCTCACTGTGGATTTGACTTAGATTTCCCTAATGATTAGTGATGTGCATACCTTTGCGTACATTTGGTTGTGTGAGCATCATCTTTGAAGAAATAATCAGTTCCTTTGTTCACTTTCTAATTATGTTGTTTGGTTTGTTGTTATTGAATTGTGGGAGTTCTTTGCATATTCTAGATAGTAATCTCATTGTATATGATTTGCAAATATTTTCTCTAATTCTTTGAGTTACTTTAAATATTTTTATTATTCTCTGACAATTTCATACATGTATGCAGTATATTTTGAGCGCATATCCCTCATCCTCTTTTATCCTCCTCCCACTCCCTCTGAAACCCTTATTTTTTCCAAGTCCCCTGCTCTTTTCATGTCTTTTTGTGTGTGGTCCACTGAGTTTAATTAGGGTTGCTGATGTGAACACGGTTATTTACTGGCGTGTGGGCAGATAACCAGTGCTATACCACTAAGGAAAGATGACTTCCTCTGAGTTATCTTTTAATTCCCTTGATAAATGTCCTTTTTGATGTGCAGAAGCTCTTAATTTTGACTTAGCCTGTTTTATTTTTGGTTTCCTGGGCTTTTTTCTTTTGCTGCTCATGTTTTTTAGGTCAGATCCAAGAAATGGTTGCAGATTCAAAGGCATACATTTTCCCTGTTTTTTTTTTTTTTTAAGAGTTCTATGGCTCAGACTTGGGTTTTTGAACCATTTCTCATTCACTTGTATGCATGGTATGAGGTAAAAATTCAACTTCTTTTTCAGGTGGATGTTCAGTTTCCTGAGCTCCATTTGAGGCAGCCAGAATACCTGCGGAGCAAGGATTCTTTAGTTGATGTTTCCAAAGCTGCTGGTTACTGTTTCAAAGGTCAAACAAATAATGATTAAGTTGTACATCACTTAAGTAGATTTTGACCTCTCCCAAGTTGAATAGTACTGAAGATCTAAGATCATTGACATTCCCCTGGAAGGAATAAAATAACAGCCTTCTTGAGCAAAGAAGGATAGACTGGAAAGCTAAAGGGTGTTCAGCTTGTTAAAGTACAGCTCCTGGTTTGCTGCTCTGAAACTCCCAAACTCGGCTGGCTGGAGTGCTCTCCCTCTTGCCTGACAAGCTGGGAGGCTGGTGAGGAACATGTCCTCACCTTTCCTTTGGAGTTTGGTTATTTTATTGATGCTAGCTGAATTGGGTGGCGAAGCTGGAGCACCTGGAAAGCTGCAAAAAAGAACTGCTGACCCCCACCAGTAAGTAGACACACGGAGATCTTTGTAATGGACCAAGTAGCTCCTAAGTGCTCGTCACAGGAAACCAGATGAGCAAAAGTGCAATGTTTCTGGAGGAAAAGCGTGATGTTTAAAAGATTTAGGTTGGTAAAAGGAATTACTTTCTTACTCACAAATTATTTGTCCACTTGTGAATGAGCAGGTATGTAATTGCTGGGAAACATCTTCAGGAAATTCCCAGAGAAAGAAATGATAGAAAATGGAGAGAATGTGGTTGGGTTGGGTACAAAGCGTAGGTGCTATCTGTGGTTACTCAGTGAGAAATTTTGTTTACATTTTAAAATTAGATGGCTAATTACTAATTTCTTTGATTAATTATATAGACCTCGGATGACTACGGAGGGGGGAAATTTAGTGTTTCTTACCGGGTCTGCACAGAACATTGAATTTAGAACTGGATCTCTTGGAAAAGTTAAATTAAATGATGAAGACCTTGGCGAATGTTTACACCAGGTAACGCACTGGGAAAACACTGATGTTTGGCATGTCTGTATGAAGCAACCTAATTGAACAGCTCAGTAGCAATCTATGCTTTGAATGCTTAGCGTAGAGAACACAATTGAAAGTATGGTGAGATCTTATGGGGAACAATGACCTGGGCTTCACAGTGAGAAGAGGGGGCAATGCTGACAGAAGAGGCTCATTGCTAGGAATATGTACCACAGACCAGAGAAGACAGAAAAAGTATCCAGAACTTCTCCACCAGGAAGGTTAACGGTTGGGGGGTGGGAAAGAAATGGTTCACAGCACTTTTGCTATAAAACAGAGCTGCCAATTCATCTCTTGTCTGATTGAGTGTTTTCAGTGCTCAGTATTTACTGCATCATGTTGAATGTTGACCATACCATTGGACATTTACTCTGGGTCATGCGCTTCATGGGTCTTACTGCCATCCCATGAGTATGTTTATTGTTACTCCACTTATAAGGGACATAGAAACATGGCAACTCAGTTAAGCAAAGTCCAAAGACACAGCAAATGCTTGGGATGAAATTTAAAATTCCCAAGGTCTCTCAGGCTGGAGAGATAGCTCAGTGGTTAAGGACACTGACTGTTCTTGCAGAAGACCTGGGTTCTAATCCCAGTACCCACATGGTAGCTAACAACTGTCCATAACTCCATTCCAGGGGATCCGACAGCTTCTTCTGTCCTCTGCGGGCATTGCATGACATGGGTGCACTTACCTACATGCAGACAATATACACATACACATAAAATAAAAAATAATAAAATATTTTTTAAAATCTTAAAAAAGTTTCCCAAGGTCTCATTCAAAACCATCCTTTTTCTGTGGCACTGGAGACTAAACCCAAGACCTTTTATATGCTAGGTAGATTCTCTACCACTGAACTATAGCTCCAGCCCACCAAGCTTAATAAGCACCCTAAAATGTTATTATGGGAAAGTTACATATAGGACTTTGTACCTATTGACATTGTACCTAAAGATATTGACCTATTGCTATAAAAAGAATGGATGGAACTATGCCATAACTATTTTAGTCTGATGATTATTATGTATGACTTGCTCCAGATTTTATAATAAATAAGGTCAGATTTTATAATACATAAGGTTTTAGCGCTTAAAAGAGACTACTACTCACGTTTTAACTTATATTGCTATAATAGGTACATGATTTTTTTCTAACATTCTTTTCCCTTTTTAGATCCAGACTAACAAAGATGATATTATAGATTTGAAAAGAAATGCAGCTAGCCTTCCTCAAAATATATCTAGTCAAGTCTATCAGCTTAATTCCAAGGTAAGTCTGACATAAACATCGTAAGAGCAAATGAGTTCTTAATTCAGCTTGTGAGTAATGTATTTTTCAGGCAACGTATCAACTCTGTATCCTCTGTATGTATTTATCCTTATAGTTATAAACTTTTCGGTTAAATGGCATAACTCTAATGGAAGCTGTAGAAGTGGTGATGGGCAGAGAGTAGAAAACACTTCAGTCCTTGTTCAGATGCTGAGGCCTCCTTCTTGCTGGTGGGAGGGGTTATCACTGCCAAGGCGCTGCAGTCACTCTGCAAGAAGCAATGAGTGAGCATATCCGTGAGCTCTGTTTCCTTTTTGAAGACCCTCAAAAGCATTCTGTGGAAAGAAACAGGAAGGAGAGGAATGAGCAGGGAAAAGGCGATGGAAAGCAGAACAAAGTGGCCCTGAAGGAGAGCAGTAGGAGAACATGTCGGAGGTATAACGTCACGCAAAAAGTCCTTGCACTGGCTAACGGATACCTTTTCTTCCCCACTGAAACAGCTTGCGGACCTTGAGAGAAAATTTCAAAGCTTACAGCAGGTAAGCCCTGTGACTAGGCAGTCACTGAAAATATACAAGACTCATTACTGATACGTTCAGTGTGGTGGTGCATGACCATCATCAGTATTCAGGAGGCTTGAACAAGGAGGGTTGAGAATTTGAGCCCAGCCTAGAATACACAGTGAGTTCCAGGCCAGCTTGAGATACATAGCCAGACCTATGGAGTCAATAGTCTTATTTTAAGGGTTGGATGAATGGTCAATATCAGGACTTGTCTTTTCCATGGTTTGATTCCATCCCAGCTTAGGTTCACGAGGCTGCACAGGAAGACTAGCCAAGGTTCACTAAGAAGGTGAGGTCTTCAGACTCTGGGCTCATAGCCCACAGATCCAGGCCCTCCCTGACCTCCTTTAACCTGTTACAGTCGGTTTAATCGCACTGTTCTTGGTCAGCTACTTATCTCCCAACTGGTATCAATAATTGACTTCAAAAAGTCACATAGCCTCTTCAGGAGTGAGTTCCAAAGTCTGGGATGTATTCCAAAATATTCTAAGTTTCCTTAAAACTCCATTTGCTGGAAATTACATTTAAAGCATATCTTAGATCAAATATTCCATATCCCTGTCACATGTTTGTAAACCCACCTATGTAATTTATGCTCAACTACTTAGAACTTTTGCTGAAACCATACCTTTCTAACTCCCTGCCCCCTAAGTATGTAGACTCTACCAATACTTACATTTTGAATGGAATATCAGGGACTCCAGGTTAAGAATCTCTTCTGTGATTCAAGCATTGTTTCCGGGGTTTGGAGTTTTAAGGGTAATGAATACATTCATGCCTTTCCACCGTTTGGACCATGAATTGCACCCTCAACCTTCACCTCTTTAGTGAGTAGCTGACCGTGGAAAGCAGTGGGGAACAGTGCTGGGAGCTAAGGGACCCCAGGATTTCAGATTCCTACAGTGTCTTTGTTTTACCAAAGGTCAAGGAGGGAGGCTTGATCAAAACCAGCTCCCCCTCTCCCCCCAGCACTCAGGAAGTGGTTCTAATGATTTTCAAATGAGAATGTCTTTCTGTCTTTGGATAGGACAAGGGCTCCGTGGCCCCCACAGTCCCTGCTACCCCCTATTGTCTTCCTCCTGACTACTAACTGATTTCATTTCCTGCTGGACCCCTACAGGCTCTGGACTTTTAATCCCCAGACACTGTTGTTTTTGTTCACCAGAGAAAGTCCTAAATTGGCAGTAAATATCCTCTGAAGGACGGAGTTCATGGTAGAGCTGGAACAAGGTCAGGCACATGAAATAAGGGAGGAAAGCAGGGTTCATGGACAGCTACATTCATGTTCTCCTGATCTATGACAAGGGTAGAGAAAGACTCGCTTTGCGCAGACAGTACTGAGCCAGGTGACTGTCCTCCAGCTCTCAGTTTCATCCGAAAAACCAAGGAAATGGGCTTGTATTTTTCTGAGCCGTTGGTTATATGTGTATATAGATGTAACAAATAGTTTGTCTCTGTTTTATACTAACATATCAAAGGTAAAATAGATATCCTCACTGAATTATCACTTGCCTCTGCCTCCAAAGTTCTCAAAGATAGTACAGAATTGGAGCTGGTAGCTGACATAGGTTAAGATTCCCCAGTTTGTGTAGACAAAGGTTGACCTGTCTGCAGTTCTGCTCTGAACATGGTCAGGTGAGCAGAGGGCCCCAGTGTATCTTAGCTGGCCACATTTCAAACAAAGGGGCTTGGAGTGAAAGAGTTCAGTCATCCAAACCCATGGGCGGGTGGAGGCGTGGTAATAAAAGATGATCAGATTTCAAAGGCTTATCCAGAGGTTCCAAAGATAAGATTAACAGGTAAAAGAACAGAAATTTCCATCTTATTTTCTGAGTGCAATAGGAATTTCCATTATAATTCCCACACCTGAAATCTTTACTCCTACCCAGTGAGGTTTACATCTCAGAGGAATGTCCTGAGAAATAGAGAGTTGTCTCTCATCCAAGCCTAAATGTATGTGAAGAGTTAAGAAAAGTGAACATGACTGATAATCTCGCAAATGAATTGATTTAAAGGAGAATGTGCTTGATGGAGAGTCTAGAGGAAGCCCTGCACCCACGAGGAGAAACATGCACTCCCCTACCCACGCCTGCGCTGCAGCCCATGTCTCTGTGTGCAGACTGCCTGCCCTCTCACTGACTGCCCTCTTGTCTTTCAGACAGTAGAGAAAAAGGACTGCAGTAGCAATCCCTGCCACCACGGTGGCACCTGCATCAATCTGCACGGCTCCTTTTTGTGTATCTGTCCCCCGCAGTGGCAGGTGAGTCACTTGGTCTTTGACTTAAAATCAAAGACTTGCTGACAGGTGAGTCAGCACCTGTGGTTGCTTTGGCCTCCTTCAGACCTATCTAATTATCCACTCAAAGTTTCTAGGATTCTGTGGTCTCCTGAGTCAGAGTGAATTGTGCCAAATGATGGCAAGTTTGATTATTTAACCCACTGAGTCCTGAGCCTTCTTGAGCAGCTCCCTTGGTAGGCCAGCTACCTGCAAGGTGCTTGTTCTGTTAGCACTGATTTAAATAGTTCAGCACTAGAAAACACTGACTGAATCTTGACATAGCCATGAAAATATTCTTGTCTTCTTTTACAATGGTAAAAATACTCCTAGCATGCAGTCAACAAACAGATTGCCACGTAAGTAATTCCAAACATAACACCGTTGTGAAACAAGGACTCATCGTTTAAGTGCGCTCCTCCTATGACCCACTGTACTCTTGAAAGGGGATCCTTGGTTCCATGAGGTCCAGCCTGAGAACCAGGGGAAGCTTATCCAGAGCTTCTATGAGCATTATTGAATATGGCTTTACCAAGGACTTATTTGCTGTCCACATGTAATTCCTTAGATATATGAATATTGGTCTCTAACTGCCTATCCTCTGGCACTGACTGTGTTCTTTATATGCCTGCAGGGTTCTTTCTGCTCAGAGGATGTTAATGAATGTGTGATTTACTCAGGAACACCCTTCAGCTGCCAGAGTGGATCCACATGTGTGAACACATTCGGGAGCTTCAGGTAATTTCTTTTTCAGATGTCCGTTACATTTTCGAAGGACAAGAATATCTAATGGCTTAAAGCATCTAAATAACTGTCTATAGTATGAGCAAAACTAGGTAACAAAACTAGGTAAACACATGGTTCTTATTGAACATATGCACAAGTATTTTTTCTTAGATGAACAAAAACTCCCACCCCCTGAAGAAATTGTTTTAACAGCATCACTGAGGAAAAGCAAGGAGGCCACCCTGATTGCCAGAGAGAGCATGGAAAGCTGGTGCAAGCTGAGCTGAAGCCTTAGCAAGAATCAGAGCTGCGAAGGCAGCCGTGAGATGAGTTTCCGGGGAATTCCTGCGCCCCATGGCTGTGCTTATCTGTATTAGTAAGCTTACAGTTGTCAGGACAGCTTCAGTCAACACTCTGTAAGAATGCTGACCAGAGGGGCTGCAGAGATGGCTCAGCGGTTAAGAACACTGGTTGTTCTTGCAGAACACCTGGGTTCAAATCCCAGCACCCACATGGCAGCTCACAACTGTCCATAACTCCAGTCCCAGGGGATCCGACAGCTTCTTCTGTTCTCCACGGGCATTGCATGACACGGGTGCACTTACCTACATGCAGGCAATACACGCATACACATAAACTAAAAATAATAAATAAAATATTTTAAAAAAGAATGTTGACCAGAACAAGATCAAAGATTGACGTGGCACCTAGAGAACCAATGAACTCGTTCCATGTGGTAGCTAGCCACAGGCCCCACCTGCAGTACTCAAGAAGCTTTCTCTTTACCTTCCTGTGAAAACTCCCACAACGTCTCCCCCTCAGCCCAGCCATTGCCTTTCTCAAGAACCGTGCCTTAACTGAACCAGATGTCACAATGCCTGTGTATTGCCACTGTTCTTTAGGATTTTGGTCATCCAAACCATGCTGCCTCAAAATACCTTCCAGTAGTCAAGTCAAAGGACTTATCAGATTTGATAACAAAATCACTTTTGGGGAAAACTTGACAATATCTGTCACTATATTCTGGCTTATTGCAAACGTTCAGTTCCTTGAGGATTAAGGATCTGGTTCTGCCATCGCATGAACAAATCTTTCCATTGCTCTGCAGAATAATGTAGCTTGATTAAAGAGCAGTGCTTCGCCCTCTTCCAGGGCCTCTGACATCTCCTAATGGTACCCAGCAGAAGCAAACTACAGTCATTTTGTTTCTACCCCGCCACCTTTATCACTTTTTCTCAAAGAGCAGTCCCAGTCCCTGTGTTCATTTAAACTGATTCTTAAAAATGTTGTTCATTCCAGGTTAATAACCTTACTTCATTCGAACTTCTGATAGACATCTTTATAAATTTAATTATTGTGCTAAACCCAAACTGACCACCTTTACCTTAAATTTAACACATGTTTCCAAAGAGACTTGACATAGGACAGGATGACCTGAGGCCTTAATGAATCTTGGCTTCAAAGGGACAGCAGGTGAACTCTTCGGAGAACTTTGCTTTTAGGACTTTGGATCTCTAACATCACTTTTACGGACATTCTGACTGGGGCTAATCTTCCGTTCCCTTGAAAGCATTATCTCTTGATTTCTGTTTATGGGCATTTATCAGGAGAATTGCCATATGAAGATGATGAGTGTCTTCCCTTGACTCCCCTCACTTATACTTTCTGGATTTCCCAATATCTAATAATGTGCTGGAGATTAGATATCATTTCAGTCCAGATCCTGCTTTATCATCACTGTCCTTGCTCTCTGCTGTGCCAATAGAACCATCCACCCAAGACATTTTTGTTGATGTTTTCAGCACATTTTTTTTCTTCTTCAAAAGTGGAAAGGGGGGGCTGTAACGTTCATAATTCATAACCATTTGATGCATGTCAAGGATGAGATACACATGCACACATAGGCATGCACATACGCTGGAGGGAGGGAGGAAGGAAGGGAGGGAGGAAGGGAGAGAGGGAAGGAGGGAGGGCTTGTCAAATGCTGCATTTCTCAGTGGTAACCTCTCTGTGTAAGAACAGTATTGACTTCGCACTTGCCCTCCCTGTGAAAGAAAGCACAGAATTTCTGCTGACTCTGGAACTGATCAGTTTCTAGTCTGGCTTCTTCTTGATGTGGGAACAGTTTAGGAGGTCTCATGAATCCTAGGTCAGTACTTGTATCTTAAATATCAGGTGGAATTCAAGCATATTCGAGTAACTTTTGAATAAGTGTATATATGTGTACATGTGTACATGGATACACATGTATGTGGAGTTCAGAGGACAGCCCCAGGTGCCTCTCCTCAGGTGCTGTCCCCCTTACTTATTGAAGCAGGGTCTCTCACTGGCCTGGAACTTGCCCTGCAGACGGGGCTGGCTGGCTTCTCATTGAGCTCCAGGGATCTCCCCTCTGCTGTCATAGTAGTGGGAATTCAAACACAAGCCGCCATGTCAAGACTGTTTTAAATGTGGCTTCTGGACATCAGACTCAGGTCCTCATGCTTGTAAGACAGCATTTTACTGACAGCCCTCATCCCAACCTGCTGTAATTTTTGAAGGGACAAAATGAAATAGAAAATGTTCATGAGCATAGACTTTAATCTTGCTTTGTGGAATCTGTGTGTAATGAAACAGTGAACATTTATGGAGTTTTTTGAATTCTCTTCAGCATGTGAGTTTAAAATACCTCTTAATCAGTAATTTCAGAGAGACTGGAAGCCCCTTCCAGAAACCTATGCATGCATTTGATAAAGGAAGACTTGAGCCACTGTTGAGAAATCTGCATCTGAAAACTGGTCATAGAGGGCAAAGTTTGTTTGGGATGTGAGGCCTCCTTCAATCAAAAAAAAAAAAAAATTCTTTGAGTCAATTTAGTTGGGAAAAAAAATGAAATTTTTACCTAATAAGATTAACAACTCATAATTATAAAGGCCTCCGAAAAGGTGACATACTAAGCAAGTGCTAATTAGTTGGAAGTTGTTTTATAGACAAATGTTCAGAAAGTTCCTTCTTAATGAACAAGCAAAATTGTTATCTGCTTCCAATAATCCTGTGGCTGGAGTCGTGCCCCCTGCGCCCCCTGCACTCCCGATCGCCCCGCCCCCTGTGCTCCCCCCTCCACCATGACCGATAACTAACAGAGAGCTGTTTTCTCACTTCTCAACATTGCTGTTGCATCTTTGTTCTAAAGACTCGTACTGTTCTCTGCTTGCTTTATATTTAAGGCCGCACTTGTCTGAACCTGCCATTCATGAGCAGTATGTGTACTTAGGGCACAAGTGTGCGAGGCTTTCTAGGAGGTAAACAGGTGGTGTCTATTTCTTCTCTGGTTACATAATGCTGACTGGTTTAGATTATTTTATTTCTCTCCGTCCATGTCACTGGTGGATTTTAAAACATGCAGAGTTTAAGTGGTGAAGATAATCTGGTTTGGGCTTAGATGGTAGTTAGATATTAATTTTATTATTTCTTTCAGTTTCTCAGTATATTGATACTGAGCCATGGTCTCTAACACAAGTTAACTTGGCCCGTGGAGGGGGATTTGGTGTCTTCTCAAGGCAACTGCATTTTTATTTTATTTTTTATTTTATTTTTCAGACCTGGTCTCCCTGTAGCTACAGCTAGCTTCGCCCAAATTCACTATGGAGACCGGGCTGGCCTCGAACTCACAGAGATCCACCTGCCTCTACCTCCCAAGTGCTGGAATTAAAGGCGTGCGCCACCACACTTATCTAGCATTTGTATTTTTTGAAGACTGAAAAACCTAGCTTTATTCTGCTAGAACAAAATCAACAATAAAAGGTTATTATAAGAACTGATAACTAAAGGCTGGCGAGATGGCTCAGTGGGAAAGAGTGCTTTCTACACAAACCTGATAAGCTGAATTCTGTCCCTGAATCCCACAGCAGGAGAGAACTGACTTCCAAAAGCTGTCCTCTGACCGCTACATGCATTCCGTATATGCTGTGTTTATTCTGCTAGAACAAAATCAACAATAAAAGGTTATTATAAGAACTGATAACTAAAGGCTGGCGAGATGGCTCAGTGGGAAAGAGTGCTTTCTACACAAACCTGATAAGCTGAATTCTGTCCCTGAATCCCACAGCAGGAGAGAACTGACTTCCAAAAGCTGTCCTCTGACCGCTACATGCATTCCGTATATGCTGTGTTATCTCTCTCTCTCTCTCTCTCTCTCTCTCTCTCTATAATTAAAAAAGAATATCAAAACAGGAATAGTAAATATTAATGATATGTCGATCATTTTAAAATATACATATAGCCTATATTTTTGTTGCATGGGCATTTATATAATTAATTACTTTTTTCTTTAAAAGCCATCCGGAATCACCTTGCAAATGCTGTTGTTAATTGCAAAGCCATACAACTTTAACTCTCAGAACAAAGAGATGTGACCTGGAAAAATAGTGGTGCTGGAGTCATTCAGACCTAAATTTTGTTTATCTTCTCCTACACATTAATTCTGTGATCACAGGTGATATGAGCCTGTAAAACGAGATTAAAGATAGCGGCATCTGAAGACCACAGCAGGGAGCTGACAGTCTGCATGGCTTCTTTTCTCTCTTCTTTTTTCTTCTTTCACTGTCTAAACTTAAATGAAAGAAGTCTACTTTGTCACTGGTTAAAACAGTGTGGAATTAGTATCTGTAAATAAAATAACAGGAAAAGAGACAGTTAAAGAGAGAAGACCTAACCTCAGGTTCATGGCCAGACCTCCCCTGCAACGTTAAGCAACTTTTTCCAATAATTAAGTGCTTAGCTAGATGAGAAACATATTTCTGAGTACTTCCTAGACAGGAAACCTTTGCAAATGGGATGGAAACTAGGATCCCGAGTTACTATGAGTTAATTAGTTGTCTGAGGTGAACAGTTAATACATTTGTTCAGGATTGAAACCTGGAGCTTCTGTGCCAAGGGTCCCCAACACTCAGATATTTCATATATGGAAAATAAACTTAGAAAACTTGCAAGAATTGGTTTTAAGGTTTTTAATGTCAAATGTGAGAAGAAGACTGATAAATTTTAGCACCGAAACCAGCTGGATCTAAACACTTAAATATGTATTTAAGAGAATGTATAAAGAAATGTTCCAAAGTTCAATAATCCCAGAGTATAATTCTGTGGAAGAATATTCTATGAGAGAGAGAGAGAGAGAGAGAGAGAGAATTTATTTACCCATGACCTGATCTTAATGAGAAAAGAAATCTTGAAATATTCAGAAATATAATTTTTAATGAAAAGCTTTTTTATAAATATGTAGTGATATTAAAAATTGCATGTGTTGTACCTACATATTTATAGAAGACTCATCTCTTGGAGTTCAAAATCACCTGTCTGTCGTGTGTCATTACTTGCTGTCTGGTGATCTTCCACGTCAGTACATGGATGCTGGTCCCCACATTCTGACTATTTCTGGCCGTATCTGTTCATCTACTTTTTTCTTAGAAATTACTCAAAGCTGTCACCCCAGGAATTGTTTCTGGGGCTGTCATAGGTATGTCACATTCTGTGTCCAGGGCAGGGCTTGTGATTTTCTCAAACACTCAAACGCACTTCCTGAACTGTCATTCACATACTTTAACACCTGTGGATATTAGCCACACTTGTGGATATTAGCTGGATATTACATACTTTGTGTGTATTGCAAAAAAACCTTTCTACTTTTCCAGAACCCATAGAAACTAACTCAGGGTTCCTGGCATGAGAGATGGCATAGCCACGCAGACACTCCCTTATCTCTGGCCTTTGAGCTGATGCTCAGTTCCCTTCATGAGGGCTCTCTTCTGGACTCTAGCAAACAGTGACTTCTGTGCTCAGACTTAGCCTGTATGACTCCATTGTCTCTTCTCTCTTTGCCCTCAACTCTCGTCCTCTTACCTTAGAAGCCCCATTTCTTCTACATTGTGGATATAAAGCTTAGCCAGCAGCTTCAAGAGTCACAATATCTTAAATCAACTTTCCTTATTTGATTTTTATTGGTCTCAAGTTTTCCTGTAACAAAGCATTTCCTGCTAGCTTAGGTATCATATAATAACTATATTTTGTTGTGCATTAAAATATGGCTACGAGCCGGGCTTGGTAGCACACACCTTTAATCTCAGCATTTGGAAGGCAGAGGCGGCAGATCTCTGTGAGATCAAGGCCAGCCTGATCTCAGTAGCTAGTGCCTGGTTAATTGGGCCTACTGGTAGACCCTGTCTCAAAAAGATAGAAAGAAATATGACTACGAAAGAAGTGTCCCTTTATTAACAATATCTATGTGGACAGAAGACCAAGATCATAGATCATTATGTGCTTCCCGGCAGGTTCTGTAGGAGCAATAGTGAACGGACTTGTTGAATGAACCGGCTGATCTTTCCCTTTCCTTCCTTGAACGAACTCCATCATTCATGCTTAACAGACATCTGACCTTTGAAAGCACTGTTTGATAACTTGATACCAGACGAATTTATAGTGGTAGTTCTGTGAGATACTAAGCCCTGATTTGCTGACTCTTTGCTTGCAAAGATAGCACACTCACTTGATGCTCTGCTTGGAGGAGAGAGAGCAGAGGGATTGTATTCTATGGCTGTGGCTGACAAAGCTGCAGGGCTGGCTGAGAATTCCATGTTAACATCACTGATCTGCAGTGTGGATATTTTTTAATTGCTGCTAAGAGACGGGCTCTGGCCCTGAAACACAAACCCTGACTTTGTGCTCTTGTGTAACCGACAGATGCGACTGCACACCCGATACGTATGGACCCCAGTGTGCGTCCAAATATAATGACTGTGAAAGGGGCTCCGAGAACCTCTGTGAGAACGGTATCTGTGAGGATTTAGAGCGAGTGCAGCATGCACAGGTGGGTCCCTCCCCAGGATGCTCCTGTGAGAACTTTGGTTGCTGGTGCCTTATCCTGCGCTGACTGTACCAGCCCTGTACTGGAAGTAGCTGCAGAGGTGAAGCCACTTCCTGCACTTAGCAGGGCACACACGAGGTGGGAGATGACATACAGAAAACTGAACATGGACGTCATGTTTAGCATGTAAAATAGGAACATTCTTATTATTCTTTCATGACCCTCTGAGACATGGCCTCCTGGCCTGTGAATTTATCAGTGACAATACATGCAAACATGACAGGCTCTGACTTGTCAACAACATGCAATTTTGAGTCTGGATTTTTCTGGCCTTGAGCCACTGTGAGTGGGGCAGACTGTGGCTTTACGTCTCTGGTGTCCCTCTTTGCTCTGGGTCCTGGACATCTGAATCTCAAGGTGGTCTGGCCAGTTTTACTTGTCACAAGAATTTCAGATCTGTATTTTTAATCTTATTTTTAAAAATTTCTCATGTGACAGATAATGCTTCTTTCCAGCAATGGAGTGATAGGAAGAATAATGATGGGAAGGGCAAGAGGAAAAGAGACTTTCAAAAAGGAAACAAATAATTGATTGTCCAAGGTCTATGCCTACATGGGTGCTTTTCCCTCTAAAACACAGCCGACTGGGTTGATTGACTTTAATTATATTGACTTCCAGGTCTTGATTATTGTTGCTCTCTCCTGAGCATCTTTAGGATAAATTATAGGATCCTCTTACTCTGAAATAAAGATGTTTTCCTTTCCCATGGTCTAGTCTGAATGCTTAAATCATATGGGAAGAAAGAGGGAATCCACCCAACTGGTCTGATGCAAATGAACTCTCGACAATGAGCAGTTTGGGGTCTGGTGAGATTTTTCAGCGAGTTTTTCCCTCTTCTTAGTTGCCTTTATTTACTCTGTTGTTTTTCGGCCAGCCCAACTTTAGATGCATCTGTGATGCTGGGTGGACAACCATGCCAAGTGGTACCTCCTGTACAGTGGACAAAGACGAATGCAGCCTCCAGCCTTCACCCTGTTCAGAGCATGTGCAGTGTTTCAACACGCAAGGCTCTTTCTACTGTGGGGCCTGTCCAACAGGTACATTCTTAGGAACATGTGCCGGGTTTTGCCCTCTGCATGCCAGGTAGGCAAGGTATCAGAACCAATTCCTTCTACCACTGGTGGAGAAGAAGACTACTCTTAGTACGTGTCTGCACTTAGCTGCATGTCCTGTTTCACTGTCTTCTGGTCAAGACATAGCAAATCTCCAGTGGAATTGGGAGATTCATTTAAAACTGTGCAAGAGTCAAACTCTGGGGCAGAGTTAGACACAGAATTTGAAATCTCTGATCTTATATTGCTGTAGCCATCAACTGACTGGACTTGTGATTAAAAGGTGTGTACTCCAGTTTCACTTTTTCTATCAGCCAGATGTTAGCAAACTTGGATAAATTCTTTAACCACTTTGGGCCTCTGCTACAACCTACTAGTTCTTGCCTTCCTGTGTCATTGAATGCCCTATGGCCTTCTGTAAACAGGGGTATCCAGATTCTTCAGCCCCACAAGGACTGAATCTCGAGGGGAATCCATTATGTTGGGTTGCTGAAAAATCTGAGCTGTATAGTCAGGGACTACCTGCATTTGAATTGCAACCTTCTTTTAATTCTATGAGATCATCACCACTTATTCAATACAGATTTGTAGATTTGTAGGGGACTCTCTATGAGCAAACCCTGAGCTGGGAGAGTTGGGTAACAGTTAACCAGACCTCAGAGAACCTGCCAGGCCCCTTTCTACTCCCTGGGTATACTTAGAAAGCAGAGCACAGACAGATGACCGTAATAGCAGTTATTCGTTAATGAAAATATCAGTAAGGCACCATTAACCGTAAGTAATTGTTTTAATTCTTACAACTACAACAAGAGCAAGTTGTGATAAGAATCAGTATTATTCACGTTTTTAAATATGAGAAATTAAGACTTGGAGAGATTAAATAACTTCCCCCAAGTACATGTAGCTTGTAGTGGGCCAGAGTCAAATCTGCATCTGCCTTGTCCTGGAACTGAGCTGAGCTGCAGAATACTCCATTACCCTGTCACAGCAAGAAACTGTGTGCCTAGTGCTTCATTTAGAGACCTCTGGTTTCGTGATTGCCTTAGTGTTGTTGGCTTAGATCTTACACAATTAGGAAGAAACTGAAACGATACGTAAAGATTTCTTTCTCTCCTGTTTCTCAAAGGTAAGTACTTGCTTGCAAATAGCCAAATTCTTGAAGGAAATTTACCAGTGACAACCTTTAAACAGAAATCTGAAAAATAATTTTTTGGACGGTGGCCAATGTCTTCTTACATTTTTATTTTTATAGCTTAAAAGTTTATAAGAAAGAAATAAAAAGCAAAACGTTTCCTTTCTGTTTGTTAACTTCTTTTCCCCCTCCAAATATTACAAGGTGTATATGCTGCTTATGAAGTGTAAGGAAGTACAAAATTACGGGGGAAAGAATCCATGTTCTTATCATTTTGAGGACCATTATCAGCATTATA